GTGATGTGTCTGCAGTAGGAAATGACTGGTAATTCAGTGGCACGGGGTGTTCTTTTGCTGATGACACAGACATCGTGTCATCAGGTCAGCTCAGGCTGTGTACTCTGTCCATATTCATTCCTACCTTGAAATGACTTGTATTGAGAACAGCTCAGAGATATTTCAGCCGGGGTTGTCAATTTAAATCAAGATGCTTTGGCTTTCCGAAATACTGTCCTCAGAATTTTTGAGGTCTGAGCAATTTTTGTGTGCTTTCTAATCATGTTTTTTGGCCTTTTTTATTCCCAGAAACCATTTTAATATATGCTTTGAAAAAGTTCATGTGTAGTAGTTTTATTGTTTTGTCCTCTGAATCTTTACCATTCAATACCTGTCTTTTTTGCTTGTTCTTTTTCACTTCTGCATTTCAACCAGGCAAAATATGAGTTTTATCCCGTGATTCTCATATGTGTAAATTTGTACTTCTTCTTGTATGTTCACTAGAAATTGTCTTTTGTTAACCTGGGATGAAATTGGGAATGGTACACCAAAAAATAAGTGTTCCTTTCCCACAGCAGATGAGCTTTCAACATTAACTGGAGTTTCAAAGCTGTTAACCTAACAACTGCATAAATTATTTCAGTGATGATGAGTGCTTTCTGACCTGAAATAAAAATGGGTGTTTATTCCTTAGATGGTTAATGTTCTGTTTAATCCCAGAAATAAAAATTTCTTCTTTAAAAGAAACAACCATCATACCCTGAAAACCCCAAAAGAAAAAACCAAGCAAAACCAAAAGCACTGGACTTTAGTCTTTTGCCCTGTTGACTTGATAAATGCCCTCTTTTGTTTTCTGTTATCTTATTATTCTGGGACTAAAGAGTTGTGGATTTTATGAAATAGGAGGGGATTGAGGACCAGAAATGTACTGATGTAGAGTGACTCGTGGCTGCCCTGCCAGTCCCCACAGTGTTGTGGCTTGTAGGGATGTTTGCTGTTGTGTTAATTTATGGCACGTTATCATTCTCTGTGAGTGCGTGTGGATATAGAGTATCTGATTGACTGAGCTCCCCTCAAGGCTGTGAGCAGGAACAGGAGAGAATTTGGTCTCTGCCACTTCTACAGTCAGGTGAGTCAGTCTAGGGCTGGGATATCTCTGTTGTATTAAAACACATTTCAAGTCATCTTCTCTTGGGCATTCTGCATTCTGGCTTAGTCTCTGCTGTGTTGGTCGGTGGATGAATACTTAACTCAAAACATGACATATTTGCTAAGTTTTAATGCATCTGTTTTCCTTTTTAATGGAGAAAGGGATTACTCATTTTCCTGTTTAATGTGGTACTTGAGGGAATAGCTGTAAAAAGCATTCTGCTGCTAAATCATGTCACCTGGTATGCTGGGGTGCATTAGGAAGAGCATTGCCAGCAGACTGAAGGAAGTGATCCTGCCCCTCCACTCAGCCCTGAGGCTGCTTCTGGAGCGCTGTGCCCAGATCTGGATTTCCCAGTACAGGGCAGACAGGGAGGTCCTGGAGCAGGTCCAGCGGAGGGCTGTGAAGATTAATTAAAGGAGTGGAGCATCTCTTATGAGGAAAGGCTGAGGGAGCTGGGCCTGTTCAGCCTTGAGAAGAGACAACTGGGAGAGGACCTCATCAATGCCTGTCAGTATCTGACGGGAGGGTGTCGAGAGGATGGAGCCAGGCTCTGCTTGTGGTGCCAAACAACAGGATGAGACGCAACAGGCAGGAACTGATGCACAGGAAGTACCACCTGAACATGAGGAAGAACTTTATGGTATGAGTGACTGCAGACTGGAGCAGATTGCCCAGAAGGGTTGTGGAATCTCTCTCAGTGGAGATATCTAGGGACCACCTGGATGCAATCCTGTGCAATATGCTGTAGGATGACCCTGGTTTAGCAGGGAAGTTGGACCAGATGACCCACTGTGGTCCCTTCCCAACCTTACCCATTCTGTGGGATTCTGTGTTACAGTGAAGTTACTTCACATGTTAATGTTTTTGGTAGGCATGGCAAAGTTTTCAGAGCAGGCATCTGCTTGAAGGAGGTAAATTTAGTTCTGAATTCACAGCTGTGGGAGCAGATCTATTTGTTACCTGAGCAGGTGCAATTCAGGATGCTATGATGTGTCACTGCCAATGCTGTCCTAATGAAGTTCACCGCTGCTTCACTTCTCTGAAAAGTTGCTGCCAGCTGAGATGGTAGTTTTTGTAATGCAAGAGCTGTGTGGAGACCACCAAACTTGATCAGAACCCAAGACAGCTTTGTTCTCAGCCAGCCTGAAGCTATTGATGTATTCCAGCTTTTATTATTGCCTGACAGGCACACATGGTGGGCAGTCCTTTGAATCTTGGCTGTACTGTACTGTTTATTATTCTGTTTTGGGAAGCTGGATAAGACCCTGATTTTGTGTGGGCACACTTCACTCCTCACTTCAGTACTGCTTGGTAGGGTGCCTTTTGAGATACTGGTTTTAGGCAATTCATAGTAGATTTGTTTCCAAGATTTGTATCTCTGTGTATCTTATTGGTGAGACACATCCACATTCCCTTTCCAGTGGCTGTAGGAGAACACACAATAGGGTGTGGTTGGTACAGCTCTCTGCTCTTGGGCTGCTTTTTCACATTTCTGAATGTTTGTAATATTGGTCAGTATATTCCTCTTTGCCTAAAGCATGCTGCTAGAACAGATTTGGGAAAGCTCTCCATTTCTAAAGGTATAGTTTTTGGATCACAGGAAGACAAGTGGATGATGTTAATAGATGGCAAGTCTTTGAAGTACATTAGAATCAACTTCAGAGAGAAAGAAAATCCCTTCCCTGAGCTGCAGATAAACAACAATGCTTTCAAACCTTCAAGAGGATCAAGGTGAAACTGAGTGAACAGCAAGTGCAGGGAAGATGATTCTGCTTTGTGTCAAGTGGCAAAAATACCTTCTTTCCTTTTTGTGCTCCTGTAACAAAGCACAATAACAAAGTACTCTGAGATTGTTCTATGAAAGGAATATAAAAAGCTTTTTATGTTAAATACCCTCATCTTAATAGATGTGGGTAGAATATATTTTAAAAGGGATAGAAATATCTCCTTGGAATTCTGAAATATCTTCAAAACTAACTGAAAAGAACTGAATCCATCTGATCATGCAGGTGCATTCAACAGCGTTTATTTGCTTATGTAGAATTGTAGGAGTGTGTCACTCCCACTTTAGTCGGCTTTGGCTGGGATAGAGAGAATGGACCAGTCTTGTTTCTCATTTTCTTGTTAAATTCTTTAGGAAAAAAAGGAAAGTATTTCTAAGCCATAAACCTGAAGTACATTGCCAAAGGTAAATATGCCACCCTTAACCTAAGGAAAAAACTGTCTCAGGAAGATAAGTTGGAGAACAGTAGCAACTGGCTGCAGAAGTGATGTGACTGTAGGATTGTTCCCTCTGAGGTTCCCTTCTGTTTTTTCCAAGAATCAGTGTCTTAGAAGACTAAGGAAAAGATTAAACATTTTTACAGAGGAGGGAAGTATTTTTCAAAAGTGAGAATGGCTTTGAAATGATTGGTGGTGGATAAAGGATGAAGTTCAGTGGACAGGGTTGTGTATTAACGTGCCTTATGGGCTGCGGTGTCCTGAATGGTAAATAAAGACTTACGTCTTACATGTAACAAAAAGCTAAGATAATAATATAGGTTATAAAAAAAGTACCACACAACTACATGTCCCATATGCAACACAAAAGTGAGAACAAACTCCAAATTGTAAGATGGTGGGTTTGGGTGGGGGAGGGAGATTTAAATGTGTTCTTCAGGAAAGAATCAGTGTAAAGAAATGAGAAAAAAATAAGATGGCAGCAGCCAGGATTTGCAGAGCTTTTCAATCCTTTGTTTGGTTATCTTCCATAAGTGCTTTAGCCAGAGACTCTTTTCAGTAGCTGCATGGGGCCGGCTTGGAACACAAATGTGCATGAATCCAAATGTAATTTCCCTGTTGTGCACATTCTAGCTGTGACAGCTCAAGTTATGAATGTAAAATAGTAGGGAAAAAAGTTCAGAAGATGGCCAGGCCTAAAATGTTAATAAGAATTGACTTTCCATGAGATCCCGTGAGCTCAGCAAAGGTGCTACCCGAATTTTAAGTCTAGCTACTTCCATGCTTGATTTTGGTGTGCCCCAGAAAAGAATAAACATCTTATTTTTATCTGTGCATCTAAGGAGTTTGACATGACAGAGGTAACAAACATTTTATTCCATGTAAGATGCAAAGCAGACAAAGGGTAATGCTCATTCTCCACTCCAGTTTGTGGTCAGCACTGGCACAGACTGAGTCGGCATCAGTGGCTTTGATCTGTAGACAAGAAATACTGTACAGGCAATAACAGTATCTTTTCCCTTTCAGACAGTTCTGTTTTCTGTGGGGCAATAATCTGCAGTTTTCCCTAATTCCCAGTGTTCAGAAGGCATTTGTCTTTCCTCTGGGGAGGACTGGTGCAGAATAAGGGACGTCTTTCCCCCATATGAGTACACTGCACACAGAAGGGGCCCCCTCATCATGGCCATGGGGCAGCTTGTCTCCAGGACTGTGCAGGCAAGGAAAGGGCTTTTCCCTCTTCTGCATGCAACTTGCACAGCAAAGAGAAGTTGCGAAGTTTGCAACTTTTCCTGCGTCTTCAACATCAGATTTTCCCGGGTCTGTACTCTCTCTCTCTCTTTTTTTTTTTTTTTTTTTTTTTCCCAACCTCCTTCCATCTCTCGTTACCATGGAGAATGAAATGCCTGTTCCATTCAAGTTGTCGGCTGAATAGGTTTTGAGGTTGATGGATGGTGAGAATCTCTTATCCCTCCTTCTCCAAACACCGCCCCTGCCTGGTTCTTGACATTTCACTTGCCAGAGACTGGCAATCAGTGAGTGGGAGCTGAAAAGGAGGCTGGCAGTGTCCTGCTGAGATGCTCTTTCAGTTCTGTGGATGAAATCAGCAGCCGTGAGGAGGTCTTAAGGACTTCGGTGCAGAGCCTTGTCCGCAAGCTGACTGAGGCATGAATGCTCACTTGAGTGCACGTTCTTGCTTCCCCAAAGCACCCAGGGAAAGAAGGATTCATGTACGAGACTTTCTGCTGCTTATGACTGTGTTTCAAGGGGTGATGTAACCTCTGCAATGTAAAGGCAAAGGTAAGAAATGAATGAAAACAACATATGCTCTGGCATAATCTATTCCTCGTATATACTTCTTTTAGCCTTCATCTTCATGCCACGTCACACCAGAAGTGGAATTTCTTTGCTGCAGTCTGACTTGCCTGGTTTCCTGACTGCTATGCTGAAGTTAGCAGGAGACACTGTGTTTAGTGGGGTTCCGGGAGTCACTGTGTGCACCAGCTGCCTACGCGCGGTATCAGTGTCAAAACAGCTTTCTGAGTACGGTATCTTTGAATAATAAATACGTGTAGCTGTGATACTGACAGGCCCAAAGTTGAAATGGGATGTTGGGGATACTGTTGAAATGCAATGAGTATAGCTACAAAGCAGAAAAATCAAAACAATAGCATTGTAAAGTTACACAGAAAATATGTCTTTGTTGTGGTTTATTTTAGTGCAAGATAACTATAGTTTTAGAGTGCGCCAGGAGAATTTTCAGCTTGTGCTGAAAGGCTTAAGTTTGTCCGTTTAAAGCAGAGGTTGTTTTGACTGATAAACACCTAATAGTAGTGGTTTGGGAGAAGTGAATACCTGGCGTTGTTCAATATGTGTGTGGATTTTGCTGCTGGAAGTAACATTAGTAAATGTTATAACTTCAGAATTTAAATTCTTATATTTTTTCCAACTAGGAGCATTCCACAAACAGAGACCTGTTGAGAGAGGAGAAAATATTTTTGTGAGCTTTCTGTTAAAACCTGTTGTGTCAGAGCTGTACCAGCTGTACCAGGAAATAATACTGTTGGTATACTTTAGTGTGTGGCATTTCAATTTGTTTGAGATCTTATGTGGAAATTTGTCTTGGTGCTTTTGAACAGCTGTGCTTGATAAGTGACTGTGAACTTTCTTTCAACACATCTTTTCAGCACCTTGCACTAATAAATATTTCCACACCTTCCACATATTCCTAAACTTGCTAACCAAATACATCTTGCCACATTACCACCAGCAGTTTTTGCATCTGTCTTAGCCCCTCAAGAGTTCACTTCCCATTTAATGCTTTATGTGCTGTTTGTTGTTGGATTGTTGTCTCCCTGCTGGAGTTTTCCTACTGTGCAATTGCTCTTTCTGTTGCGCAAGCCACTTCCAAAATGCTAGTATGTTAACTGTTTGACCACTGGTGTGTTAAAAGGGAATTTTTAATTCTTGCATCAGAAAGGCATCTGTGTGTGTCAGTACATCCAAAATAAATATATGCCTATGAAATATGTCTGAATATACCATCCAGTTCCTTAAGTATTGCACTGTAGAGATTGTAGTAGTATTTTTGCCCCCAGAGCTTAGGATTCCCTGGAGGGATGCACGCCCAGAGGATTCGATTGCCTGTGACTTTCTGTCGTACAAGACAATATGTGATAACATGCAGGACTTTGATTTCCTGCTTTGAACTTGGTTGGCTGAGGTACTGTAGGAAAAAATAGATTTTCAAAAATACACCACTGAAGCAGCTTCTTTTTACCATAAATACATCACACATGTCAGATGGAGTTGAGAGAAAGTAATACAGGGAGGAAAAAAGGGGGGAAGTCCGTTGGGACCTAGTGTGATACTGTAATTTGGGCTTAGCTTCCCAGTAGGCACTCAGCTTCATGTTACCATTTCTAAGGGATGGGGAAAGAGTAAGTATTTGTTTTAACATGGTTATTTTGAGTTAGCAGCAACAGAATCAGCATCGAGGCTTGCATGTGTGTTTCCATTTATTCCATTAATCTGCTGGAGTTTTTTGATTTAGCTATTGCCTTCTCTATGAAAAAAAAATTCTCCTACCTGCTTATGAGCTTGCATGAGATAAAATCACAAATCTTTCTCTCCCACTCTGTGAGGATTGTTATGCTAAAAATTTTCAAGGTTGTCAAAAATTTTTCTGGGTATTGATGACAGGTTTTAACTTCTGAAAAAAAGATTTTCCTGTTTTCAACTTGGATGTATATATATATAAATTTTGCCCTCTGAAATGCCTCCTCTTCCCCTCGCTAACATCGACCTTTACTTGATTAGCGTCTTTTGATTTTTATGTTTTCCCTGAGGAGAATACAATTAACTTAATAAACTTATTGTTGTTATTAGGACATATCTTGTAGCTTCTCTGCTTCATTCCATCTGGTCTTTAGTTAAATTATTCTTGGGAAAATTATTCATGTCCCACTAGTTTTAGATTCAGAGTTGTTTGATTCTTTTTTCTCCTCCCCCTTTCTCATCTGACCAGTAGCCAGAGCTTGTAATTTTTTTATCTCGCCCTAAAGCCTCATGGCTGCTATTTAGATTTTGGGCAGCTGGGGAACAATCCATCTCTAAATCTCCTTCTGCTTGCTAGATGTTTAATTTCACCTTTTCCTTAGTGATCAGCACATGAACTTCCGTTCAGAGCTTTCCCAGGGAGTGCAGCATGGAACTGACCTCATTTGCTTCGGCTCCACTCCTGTCCCTGCTGCCCGGTGTCCCAGTCACTGAGGACTGGCAAAGCTTTGTTCAGCACAGCTGGGGAAAAAACCTGAGCGGAGCAGCAGACTGAAGCTGTCTGTCCACGGATTTACAGAGACGGCTCTTCGCTGATCTGTACTTTGCAAGTTAACTTTGTAAGCTTAAAGTCTGGAAAATTAATTTTAGTTTAGCTTTTGCCAAGGCTTCCTACCTGTTCTGATCAAGTGAATTTTTAAGCCCTTTATTGCAGGCTGGTACATATGCAAAGAATGAGCACCGTGTTCTCCGGTAACTCATTCTTATCTCAAGTGTCATTTACTGGAATCTCTCTACCTTTTGCCTCCTGTAAAATGTAAACTGAATTACAGGCACATAATTAAATCAACATATTAAGTGTGTGAGGAGTGAGATGCAGTGGGAATTTTGATGGCCATTTTCACAGTCAGAACATTAAAATCGCTATTATTAGGTATTTTCTAGTGTATTGAGAGCACCGGTTATAAAAGAACAATTTCCAGCGGAGATGAAATGTGTTTCTGTGCTAGGTCAGCACAACAGGCGATCATTTTTCCTCATTGGGCAGGGCAGCTGCTTCATAAACCATGTGGCTGGTAGTTAGAAGACTCAGATGTGCAGTATTAGTGCTCGTCAAGGAAGGGGAGATTTGAATAATTGCTGAATAGTTGTGAGGGTTTAACTGGAAAAAAATGTGACAGTTTCAGGTACTGGTGCATTTGCTTTTACATGTACTTCATGTCCAAGTTGCTCGGTTGCATCTGGCATACTTCATACCTAAAACTGCCTTGGTCAGTGTCTTGAGACTGATTTTCCACCTGATTCTTTTTATGCCTAAGCATCATGCACATAGTATTGATGTTATATTGCATTATCTAAAGATGTAGAGCATTGGCTTCTCAGGGCTGAGACTTTATTTTGTTTACTTTATGCATAGCAACTGAAGTTCCTGTTGTCTTGCCATAACCCAAATTTGGAGCACAAAATCAAAATGAAAAACTGAAAAGCAAAATATAGCACAGGAGGCATGACAAGAAGTGGGATTAATCTCTTTAACGTAGATACTATTTTCTCTAACCTTGGATTTCTGAATAACTGTTGATGACAGTTTACTGTGAGGACTAGAAATAGCAAAATGGTGTGGGATGGAGTCCAATTTGGGTGCAACGTGAGAAATACCCCTTATGTTTGTGTGGATTTGTGTAGCATGTGTCTCAAGGCCAGCTGCTGGCTCTTTCAGATTTGTTCGTGTGAAATCTTCTCCTTTAGTCTTGTTCCAGAGCTGTAGCATTGTATTCCAGTACATCCCTCTCCACCCAATCTGGTTATTTTTTGTTGACTCTGTAGTGCACTTCCCTAGCTGTGATACTGGATTTTTATTCTATCAGTAGAGCAAAAGGATAGGAGAGAAGCAGGGGAAGGGATATTTGAAACTAGTATTTGTTTTAAATAAAAGTTAACATTTTTTACAGCAAAGACAATGTAGGAGAAATAGGGAGGGCACATTAGAGAGCTCTTGAAAGTGCTATTTGTATTTCAGTCTTGTTCAGGAGGTTGACTCCTGGAACATACTCGAAGTCAGAAAACATTAACTGGATTGGCAGAGGTGCTGGCCCTACATTCAGATGAGAACCAACAAAATGCCATCAGGAGTTGCCATCATGCCCTAACTTGGAAATTATTTTTGACACTCAGCATTGGCAGCTGATCGTCACAGACAGTATGGATCTTTTATAATCTTCACTGAGATATGTTTTATCTTGATTTACAGTGAAGGGATTTATACAGTAAAGGTTACTTCTAGTCCCATCTTCCCATTTCCATATTTTATCTAATAGTTACTTCAGTTGTTTAAAGTACGTAGGTTTGTTGCTCTGGATCGTGGATATAAATAGATGCCAGAAGGATGAGGCCTTATCAGCTGTGAGCAGCTGTACTTGTCTTTTCATTTTAAATTTAGACACCTAAAGTGCAGATGAAAAACAAAACTTGTTTTCTGGAAGGTAAGACTTTTAAATTCTTTGGGGTTGGTTAAAGGCTGTTGCCCCTGTGCTTAAAGTAAAGTAGCATTAGCCTTTTTGGGGAAGCCTCTGACCTCCTTGTTGGAGCCCAGAGTTACAGTTCAAGGTGGTAAGTATTAAGGTCTGTAGCAATTTGGTTTTGAAATGCTGTCTAATTATGGACAGTCATGAATAATCTAGTATATTACTTGCATATATTGGCCACCTTAGAGAGGGAAGTCTCATTTCCTTCAGAGTGTCATCTTCATACTCTTTGCAGAAGTGGCTCTTGGGGAATGCCTGAGGATGCTGGCAAGTGAAGAGGAATACACAGTGGCAAAACACTGGAGGACAGGATTTCAAGTACTGTATGGGGGATGTTGCAAATAACCTTTGTTAGCTTAATAGGTTAATTTTTGACCTCTGGGTTACTGTGTAGTTACAGAAAGTGGCCTTTCCTCTATTTAATTTTTGCAGCTAATGTTTTATTTTCCACGGGTATGTTATTAAGGTAATAAATTATCCATATGGAAATCTCAGGCT